AATGGTAAGAATGGAGACTAAATTGAAGAAAACCAAAGACTACACAGGAAGTAAAAAGTAAAGAAACTTTTAAAATTCTATTTTTAAACTATTACTTAGAAAGAGAACACTGAGAAGAGGATGGTCATAAGAAAATGGAAATAAGAAAGAGAATGTGTATTTTCAGAGTGAGTGAATAATGAATGTATTAACAGCGGGGATTAATGCAGTACAGGGAGGAAATGTGCTCAAATTAGGGTACTTCAGATGCTCATTTTAGGGTACTTCAACTACACTGGCATATTTTCTCCATCCTAGTTCCTCCTTAATATTGTTCCCAGGAAAATCACCATTGTCCATAGAGCACTTCTAAAACAGATGGAAAACAGCATTGGCTGTACCCATAGTACAAACTTTTTACTGATTTACAAGAAATTTCTACTACTTTCACCTATATGCAAAATGCATAGACATATTTCACCTATATGTCTTTACTTGATCAAAAACACAATGAAGGAGCTGGGGTTATAGCTCAGTGGCACAAGCACCTGCCTGGGAATTGTGAGGCTGTGAGTTCAATCCCAAGTACAAAAAACAAAACAAAACAAAACAAAAAACCACAATGAATGCTGCTATCAACTGTCATTCAAAATGACCATGAAGCTAAATGTTTTGAATTGCTGCAGGACACAGAGGCAGCCATGACAGCATACCTGGAGACATTTATCAAAGAAGACTTCCAAAACTGCTTCAGAAATACCAAGTATGATAGACAAGGGTACTGGTGAGACAGCTCGGACCCTGGAATAAAATCCAAGGAAGCAAGAAATTAAGAAAATTCAGAGCAAAGGCTTTATTCCAGGCCTGGCAATGCAGCCCCCTTTGGATCAACCCAGAGACTGCATGCCTAACAGACTAAGGGAGGGATATTTAAAGCTAAGAACTGTAAAGCTATAAAACTGTCGACTTAGTTGACTTAGTTCTGGTAACATCTGGAGCTCTTGGTGCACTCCACTACTCCCACCCTGCAGTTAAACATTATCTTGGAATAGCACACCTGCAATAACATGCGGAAAGTGGGTAGGGAGTTACAAGAATCTAAAATTAAACTTTTACAAGGATTAGAAACTTAACCCTATCGAGACGGCGCAAACAGAACAAGACAGAGGTGCATTGGTTAGAGTTAATCCATAAGACTGGAAGCAAGGGGGGAGTACTTTGAGGAAGGTTAATGGTGATATATCTTGTACCATAAAGAATTTTTAAAACTTTAAACATTCATAGTATGCCTCAATTACATCTCATGTATTATAAAAAGCAGGGTCTATGTTTTTTTTTTTTTTTTTTTTTTTTTAGAAAGGGCTAAAAAGTAAATATTTGAGACCATATGAAAAACGCTTTACAAGCCATATAGTCTCTGCCATGACTAATTAACTTTGATTTCTTGGCATGGAAACAGTCTTAGACTACCTTAAAAAAAAGGTCATGGCTGTATTCCAATATGATTTCATTTACAAAAGTGGAAGGCAAATTTAACCCAAAGGTCTTAGATTTCTGACCCCTGATTTGAAGGATTTACTGTATTTACTCTTTGAAGACTGAAAAATCAGGGGTGAAACTTTGGTGCTTAGCAGTTCACTTGCTTGCTTTTCACTTTAAAACAAACTACCAATTGAAAAATGGATATTGGTTACTTCTACGGAAGATTTAATAACATGTTCCAAGTGGGATACACGTGTGGTGCAAATGCCAGTATGTGCAATAAGAGTGATAAAAATGATCCATTCAATATTCCTATAATCTACTCTGTATAATGAGTAAAGGTCCCTGGTCAAGATAAAAACATCTCAAATGAAGTCTTTACCCAATATTATGTAATCTCCTTGCCAAAAAAAATACATCTTGGGACAAGGGTAAAATTTTCTAAGTCACAGTAATATTAATCACACATTATAGAGAGATATATTATGTAATTTTTATTTCATGACTATAGTATTATGCTAAACTATGTATCTACTAGGGGGCATCTTATCGAAATACTATCATGCTTTACAGAAATATATCTCAGTTCATAATACTCAATTTAAAAGAATAATATGACAATAATTGCTTGATTATTAAGAATAGATAGGTCTCTTCAATACCTCAGTTCATGAATGCTTCTGTTCATGAACAATTCAGTTCACGAACAGAAGCATTGGGCAAAATTTTGCTTTTGTTGGCGAACTCCACATTAGGTGACATACACAACCAGAGCCATCTCCCCACATGAATATGAACGCAGCCATCTTCCCCAGGATCACAGAAGTATTAAATTCATGAACTGAGGCATCACCGTACTTGGATGAAGATTTTTCTAAAAAGTTATTTCATACTTAAAACTGACCTAATGCACCTACTACATATCCTAACACATTCTTTAAAGACAAAAAGGTAATTACATCATATTCATTCTTCACTTCATTAATAACATGCTAATTAATGAGTTGCCAATTTTACAAAAATTTATTTTCTAACACATTCATAATAATTTTCTAGAGACTATAAAAATCATTTTAATTTACTTATACACTATCCATTTTTTTTATATTTTGGTACTGGGGATTGAACCCATGACTTTATCCTGCTGAGCTAAATCCCCAGGTTATACCATCCATATGTAAAAGACAGAACATTGTCTTCCTACCACCAAACTTGTACTTTCTTCGATTGTAATAACAACAATTGGTTTTGTGACAGTTATTCTTACTTGTAAAAACTTGGTTTATGAAACTGTCTGGTAGAGCATAATTCTGAATGTGTGTCTGAGTGAATCATAGAGACATAACCTTCATTATAACCCTGGTCTCTGACCCCTTTTGCTCTGATACCCTTCCTGGCAGTGCTTCCTGGTTACATGAGCTAAGAATCTTTGTTTTGCCACACTCTCTCACCATGACATTTCTGCCTTTGAGTCACCTACTACGGACTTATTCCCCTGAAATCATAAGCTAAATTAAATTTCTCTTCCTGTAAGTTAAGAGTGTTGAGTATTAAATCCACGTAGCAGGAACACAGTTATCACTAAATTTATTAAACTTTACATGTGCATTTAAAAATATTAAGATTGGCAATTCCTATGCTCACAGTCTTAGTAAGATTCAAAACACCAAAATATAAAAATTGTATCACATCTGGATTACTGACATTCACAAATTACCCCTCTATTCAAAATTAGGATTTAATCCAAAACCTCCAAAAATTCCTTTATGTATTATATGTGTTATATGAATGTATTAAATGAATCCCTATTCGTGTATATGCAACGACTATTAAAGAGTAAGCTTATTTTATATCCAGTCATTTAATGAAATTTTTCTTTAAAGAATGCTAGGAATCCAAAACATGACATTATTATGGAAAAATAATAAAGACAGCATGCCCACTGAGTTTCATAATCAGTCAATCATTAAAATACTCAATTAAGAGAATCTTGTTTATACATAATATTTGAAAATATATTTTTACTTTCAAATAAAGAATATTACAGAAAATAAATCAGTCAATTGTATCAGAGAAAGGTAAACATTTTCACTATAAATAACTTAAATAAACAAAGTATTTCTGTTAGTAAAACACTCAATTACAGGAAATTATGTTAATAATTATGTAAAAATATATGAAAATGATTTATAAAGTAGCTTTTAACTATTATATAATTCCAGGAGCTACTTCTTTTTAACTTCATGAAAATCAGTAAAAACCTGAGTATTTGGGAAAGATATTACACTAAACCATCTTCCTAATTGATATTCTGATTGTATGTAAATGCATCCAAATGACTCCACAGGGTTCTGGAGGTGGAGATGAAAAGGCGTCTATCTATTTGTGTAACCCTGTCATGGCAAGGACTTTTTAAGCCTTTCAAATTTTAATGAGGTAAAATTAACACACAATAAGTTGTACAAGGCTTAAAGGTAGAGCTTGATGGCTTTTTACATATAAATATACAGATACAGATCATTTGTAGAACATTTTTATCATCAAAAAGGAGTGTTCTTCCTGCCCCATGTCATTCAGTACCCACTCTTAGGGGTTACCACTGTTCTACAATAGATATTAACTTGCCTCTTTGAACCAATTACAAATGGAATCACACAGCATATATTTTTTGTGTTATGTTTTCTGCTCAGAATGTTTTTGAGATTCACTTATATTATCATCTTTACCAATAATATTCCATTTTTTATTACTGCGTAATATTACATGACTAGATCATAAGCTGTTGTCTTATATTTTCTTTCAGAATCTTTTGAAATAAATGCTTTATATTTAAAATTTCCATCTGTGACTTACTTAAAATTAATTTTGTACATATGGCATAAAGTTAGGCTTGAAGTTTGCTTTCTCATATGTATCCCCAATCTGCAGTACCATTTATTGAGAAATATAATGTATGCATTACTTTCAAATGTTTAAATATTACACAGTTTCTCTTATATGAGGGGAAGATGATATGAAAAGAATTAAGTTCCCTTATGTACATACACCAACTCCTTATGATAAATGCAAAATCTATCTACAGGAAATAGTTACTAAAAAACATTTTTAAAAAATAAAGAATCATCACTATTGTTTTAGATTCACCTAGATAATTCAGGATAATCTTTTTGTCTCAAGAGAAAAATCTAACTTGACCACATCAGAAAAGTTCTTTTCACTATACAAATTATAGTAAGCCTCAGAGATTAGGAGATATACATACTTGGCAGTGAGAGATAGGGCATTATTGAACCTACTTTGCCACTGAAAATTCATGAAAAGATACCACAATTGAAGAATCTAAGCTTGGAGATTAAAAAAAGGTATTTCACCGCCCAACTAATGAAATACCAGTAAAGCGAATCCAGCAATAAATTAACAGGGTAAGACAACAAGACAAAGGAGTTTTTCCCAGAACTGACATCTTTAAGGCAGTTAAAAGAATGTGTGTTGAATGCTGTTAGTATTGCTAAAGAACAATTATCCATGTAATTGTTTACCATTCAGACTGAAAGCAACCAAGAGTTCTGCTCATCCCCATTTTGATCAGGAAATTGCAGAGAAAGTCTTCTATTACTTCAGGTACTGCATGCTTTGGAGGAAGAACTGTTTCCTGTTCCTGAAATTTAAGTGTAAAGTTACTTAATTTGTAAATGTCAAGGCTTTCATCAATGGTACAGATTAGGCATTTCATTCCATTACTTTTCAAACATTTACCCCAATTATTATCTGCAGGAATGATTATCATAACCAGATATAAAATATCTATTAACACAAAAATGTCTCTGCCCTCCTACATAATAGCCAAGTAGAGGAAAACAATATGGATTACTAAAGAAAAAAATACATAAAATGGCAGATAATGCTACCAAGTGTTGACCAAGTGGACCCAGTTAACCAAGTTGACCAAGTGGACCCAGTTGACCAAGTGTTGACTAAGTGGTTTATACCAAGTGGAATAAAGTAGATGCTAGCAGACAGGGAGCCCAGAGCACTATGTGTATACAACTGGGTTTAGTATATACAGTGGTAAAGGAAGATTTCACTGATAAAGTGAGGTTTTGGTCATAATCATGAAGACACAATCCCAAATGCTGAAATCCTAATAAGATCGAAGTTCCTAATTTAATATCCCAAAGAATCAAAATCTCAGAAATAAATTCTAAAACAAAATAATTTTAAAAATTATTTAAAAGGCCTCTTACAATTTTAAAAAGGAAGGTTACTTGAGAAACATTCAAAATCATGAAAAAACATTTCATAGTCCACTATAAATGAAATGGGCAATAATAACAAACATATTTTTGTAAGTATAAACACTTGGATATGCTAAGTATAGTCAAGCAGGTATGACAGTTGTCAGCATACAAATAGTATTCATAAAGAACTAAGACAAAAGCATAACATATGAACACGTATTACAATGGTTGGTACACCCAGCTCTACAATAAGAGTCATCTGAAATCCCATGACAGGAAATCTAAATCTTTTCTTGATACTAATCAAATACCAGATGGTTACCACTGCATGTAAAGTCATCCAAAGAGCTGAGCTCTCAAGAAACATTATCTTCCACAAACACAGATGTACCAGAAAAATATTTTTTAATTTACTGAAGAAATTTCAACATTTTCATGCACATACATAATGCATGCCTACGAAGTCAACAATGATTTAAGGAACTTTTATGGAATGAATCTGCAAAAAAAAAAAAAAAAAGCATACCAAGTAATGAAATTTTTTATACAATTTATACCTCTAGTATTAGAAATTACATGAAAAGGAAATATATAAGTTAACAAGTCATAGAAATAATATTAACAATTTAAAATAGAATTTTAAAAACTACTAAGAAAACTCAACATATGAAAATATCTATTACAATGCTACATTATGGGAAATTGGGCCTATGTCATCAACATAAACTGCAAATCTCATGACTACCAACTGCATTTTGAAGTCTTGCATCTTGATGAAGCTACTACTTTCAGGGCATGGCTCTCCTTACAAAATACACTCACATTCATTTTTTTTATGTGGAACTGTCCTTTGTTAATTTTTTCATGATTTGATATACACAGAGATCAACATCCCTTGTTTCCTCATTTTCTATGCTGTGCTTCTATGTTGTGGATTGGGTAGGTGAGCACGATTATGTCAGCTTCATTGAGCTGCCCAGCGGACTGACTTAGCACACTTCTGGGCACATCTGTGGTCATCGAGGTGTGACCTGGGTACTGTGTTCTGTTCCTAGCCCCATCTTCTCAGGCACTGCTCCCTACCCTTCTTGCCAGCAACCATGAACCAAGCAACTTTGCTCCAGCAAGGCCCTTCAACTGTTAGGTTCCAGCCTTGGAGTTTGCCAGTCATGTACTGAACCCCCCAAAACTGTGAGCCAAATTAAGCCTGCCCGCCTTTAAATTGTGAGTCAGGTGTTATGGCCCAGCAACAGGAGGGCTGACTAACACAAAGACATTAAGGAACCCTTCTGTATGCATTCACATACACACTGCATATTTGATGATGGAACAACAGCACCACTACATTGTCTTCTTATCCTGCTGTGCACATAATTATTTTCAAACCAGACAGTAATTTTACTGACTTCCCCAGGCATCTGTGGCTTTAGTTATCGGAAGTTCTTAGAAATTCATTAAGTGAAAAGCATTGTGGATGCAAATAATGCATTTTTATACTGAAGTTTTCCATTGCTGTACAATGCAGTGAATCCATCCATTTGAATTTTCAGCCAAAGGCACTAGACTAAACAAAAAAACAAACTTTATTGACATTACACTGAAATTCATTTTTAGAAACTTTGATTTCACCTAATCAGTCACATTAGTCAGTCACTATGGTTTTGTGATTTAATTGAAATTCATTTATTTATTTTTTATTTTAAAGAGAATAAAACTAAATGGAATAAAGTCAATCAAAACAAACAAGTGTGACACAGGACTTCAAACAATATGAAATCAATAATATTTATCATAATGCATCTTGTTGTCATCAAAAACAGCTTCAGAGACCTTTCAGAGATAGTAAAAATCAAACAAAACAGAACAGAATAGAACCAATAAAAAAGCAAAACAATGAATGCAATAAAGGACTTCAAAACAGTATAGCTCCCATAATATACCTTGCTATCTTTGACACAGGTACCCATGCCATCAGATATAACAAAATCAAACAAAATGAAACAGAATAAAACTCAATTCAACAAAACAATGAAAATGACACAGGACTTCAAAACAAGACATAGGGAGTTAACAGTGGCTACCACCTTCAGAAGAACGCCACATTGTGTACCATTATCCTCTGAATAGATGATCTGACCACCAGCCCTAGACATGTGAAGCCAGTGAAACACCAAACACCACAAGCATAAAACTGCATTTCACCTCACTGCAGCCTGTGTTTCTCCAAATCAGCTGGTTGCTTACCTCAAACTTCAAAATGAAATTCAAAGTGAAGGAGTGCTTCCAACTCATATATGGAGGCCAGCATCAGTCTGATCCCAAAGACCTCATTAACAAAGGAAACTACAAACTAATCTCCTTCATGAATGTAAATGTAAAAATCCTCAAAATAATACTGCCAAATAGAATCATCAAAAAGATCATGTGACATAACCAAGTATGTTTCATACCAGGTTTGAATAGTTCAACATACACAAATTAATAAATATAATACAAAATATAAACTGAGGCAAAGAAAGAACCACTTGGCCTTATCAATAAATCCAGAAAAAGCTTTTGACAAAATCTAACACCTATTCATGATTTAAAAAAAAAAAAAAAAAAAAACCTGAAGAAAATAGCTATAGAAGGACCTTATCAGAATCTAATAAGACCCATTTAGGACATAACAATGGCCCACACCAAATTAAATGGGAAAACCTGAAAGCTTTCCCTTTGAACTCAGGAACAATATGAGAATGTCCACTATTACCACATCTTTTCAACATAGTACTCAAAACATTAGAACAATAAGACAACAGAGAGAAGTAAAATGGAAATTCAGGAAAGGAAGAGGACAAATTATTATTTCCAGATGACACAATCCTCTACGTAGAAAATCTAAAACATTCCACAAAAGTACTCCTTGAGGGGCTGGGGATTTAGCTTAGCGGCATAAGCACCTGCCTTGCAAGCAGGTGGTTGTAAGTTCTATTCCCGGTACCAATAAAAAGATTTAAAAAAAAAAAAGTACCCCTTGAATTAATAACCAAATTCAGCAATGTAGCAAGACACAATCAACACACAGAAATCAATAGTGTTCCTGTATATTAATAATGTACTTCAAAAAAATAAGAAAATAATGTCATTCACGGTAGCTTCAAGAAAAATTAAATATCTAGGAATTAATCTACCTAAGGAAGTGAGAGTCCTCTATAAAGAAAACTACAGTACTCTGAGAAAGGAGACCGAGAAAGGCAACAGGAAATGTTAAAATATTCCCAGTTCTTGAATAGGCAGAATCAATACTGTCGAAATGTGGTCATAGTCCTAAAACTGGTAGATTTAAAACTATCGCAATAAAAATAACAACAGCGTTCCTCACAGGCATGAGAGAAAATGTTCCTAAAATTCAAATAGAACCAAAAGAGACCCAGAATAGCAAAACCAATCCTGGCCAACAAGAATAAGGTAGAAGACACCACAATATTTGACTACAAAACTACAAGGATAAAAAATGGCACATTCCTGGCATAAAAATACACATGTACCATGTGTGAACAGAACAGAAGATGCAGACACAACCACAAACACAGTAATGTAATAGCAAAAAAAAGCTTGTGTTCATATTGTGCAAAGGAAGTAAATAAGCACATAAGGTATATCGGGGTCAGCTTCTGTAAATAAAGTTTACTTAGATACAATCATGCACAGTTGTTTATATGGAGCATGGCTGCTTTTGCATTACAAGACACAGCTGACTAGTTTTTGTGAACACTTGCTGCCCCTCAAAACCTAAAACACTTACCGTTATGGAAGACAACTTTAAAGACATGGGCTAGAAAAAAAAATGGAGATATTCTGGCAAGTGCCATACAAAATTACATAAAAACAACTAATATCACACAAGACCCAGTGCAATATAAATCAAATAATGGATAGTGTCTTTAAAAATATAAAAGCATCATTATCTCTTAAGTGCCTTCATTGTTTTCCTCACTGGCAAGAAATAACTAAATCATCAGCTGACCATTTGGATAAACAGGTCTAATGTCTTCTAGACTCAGCAGCCGACCTTCCTTCCTGCTTCTCCCCCATAATTTGAGAACTGTTAGGCACAAGGTTACGAAGAACAGTTGTCTAGAAATGCAATGAAGAAAGATGACATGTGATCCCACAAGTAGTTCTTTGCAAAAGTGTTGTAGGTAACTTAACACAGATGCTTGTTATTAGCAACTGCTATGACATTCAAAAGTGGTGAACTTAGGCAAATTCTGGAAGCTACAGAAAAGCCCTAACATGCAGGATTTTTAAAAGATTCTTTAAAGGTCAAACAGAATAATCTGGAGTATTCTTCAAGTTATTTTAAATATGTTCAGGACCCTATAATAAATATCACAGGAGATGCCAGCCTAGCAGAGTATAGCACGTATGCCTTCAA